GTTTTCCATTGCACCATGGGATTTTATTTCCATTGCACCACAAAAAAATTGTACCAGGTTTTTGTGTCTACTGCAGTGACACAGTGCAGTGCCACAATACATTGCTATGTCACATATTACTAACTCAACGTTTGTACCAGGTTTCCCTATGTCTATTGCAGTGACACAGTACAGAGCCACAATACATTGCAGTGCCATACATATTACTAAACTAACGTATTGCAAAACCAATGCATTTTCAATTACAGTCAAACTTCCTTAACTCGAAGTACCATTTTGCAAAGAAAAGTTTCCACTTATGGAGACTTCGAGTTAAAAAATTGTATGTAACTTGCTCTTTAAACCTTGTTGCACTCTATTCAGTCCGAGTTATAGAAAATTTGAGTTATAGAAAATTTGAGTTTAAGAAAATTCGAGTTGTAGATGTACGAGTTATGGAAGTTTGACTGTATTTTTATTTATTTACAAATATTTTTTTTTATTGCAAAATTTGAAAAATATCCGTAGTTTACATAAAAATACCAAACGTGCTGCTCCAATCTACAGCCAGCCGCACCTCGCTGCATGATTTGAATTTGTGTGCGGAGGGACTTCGGAAAGATCGTTTACTGGTAGTATTGTCTTACGTTCATTTATGTTTGCACAATCGTGTATTGCATTTAATCAATTACAAAATAAAATTTACTTTTTATTTTTGTGCTTTTCACTATTTTTAAATTTAGTTATCAACATTTCATTGTAGAAATTTAATTAACCTTTTTTCTTATGCCTTTTCGTCGATTATTGTTGACATACAATTACGACTAGTATCGTCTATGCAATTTGTGGAATAATGATGTATGCTTATGAAGCAGTCAAGTTAAATGGAAAATGTGCAACTGTGAGTGTAATTCGGTAATCGTTAGTTTATTTTGGTTAGTCTGATACACCTTTACATCAAGGCCTGTCATGCAAATACAGTTGAAATTTAAACCTGTTCTAGCTTAACTATTTATTGTACTGACTGACTTTTAGCTTTCAATTGAGGAAGTATTGTTATTTTTATTTTACGAAAAAATTTACAATGAGTAACTTCATCTTTGAAATCTAATAGATAGTTACTTAATGAAGATTTTTCAATTAATTTTTAATTAAAAATTTCATGTCCTATGACAAGAAATTAATTTTCGAATAGAAGAATTGTTAAAAGTGAGGAATTTCTTAAGTTTAAACCTTTCATATTTTATTTTGAAGTAGTTAGTTTACTTTTTATTTTTAACAAAAGATGCGAAAACTCAACAATATGCAGGCATCTGTATGCAACTTAGCTACGCTCCAGTAAAATAAAATCAAGAGAGAGAGAGATATCAGTCTTATAGTAGGTTTACTTACAGGTCATTGCATTTTAGGTAACAATGCTAGGAGACTAAATCTCCCTTTCAACCATAGCTACCATCTGCTTTTGTTCAGGACAGTGTGGCGCCGCCTTATAACTTTAGGGGCTTCCTTTTTTGACTATCTTAGCGAACTGCAAGAACTCTCTCCAAATAGCATTATAAGCTTTGCCAAAGGTTATAAGTGTTTCCAACCCTTGAATGTTTTAATTATATAGTAACACAATGGGCCTATGGGCCTAAGTGGTTCCCTTGGGATCGCCGGTATAACCTAACCTAAGTTAGTTCACTTTTTTAATACTTTATAATTAGTAATTTTCAGGATTCTTCAGTGTACTTTGAAAATTATATAGAAAATATTTTCGAAATATACTTTGAAGTATTCTGAAGATGACTATAGAATATAGTCGAAATATTGTTTCAAATAAAATCTTTTAAAAAACAAATAAAGTTTATTATTTAACTATTGAATTATTGAACCATTAAAAAAACAAACTTCCATAACTTCGAGTTAAAAAAATTGTATGTAACTTGGTTTCTAAACCCCGTTACACTCTATTTAGTTCGAGTTGTAAAAATTTGAGTTATAGAAGTTCAGTTATGGAATTTTAACTGTATATAATTTTTAGACTACAAATAACAGGAATTGAACTCTGTCAAATTTGAACCGTAGAATCGCGTATGAATACATAAACTTAACGTAAACCTAATATGCATTATTCAAATTTCTAGTCTTATCAATGTTTATAGTTATATAGTTATAGTACATAGCTTATAGTTAGTTTTATATTTGTAAACAACAACTGCATTTCCCGTGCTATTCTTAGAGCGACCATATAAACTACAGCTACTTACATATATATATTTGTTTAATAATAAGGTCAATTATGACGACAGTGTTCAGTTTTCTATTAGAAGGGTTTTTTGATTAGTTATATTTAATTAATTAAATTTTTTGGCTAACCATAAGCCTGTCTAATATTCATGGGTTTAAGGGTCTATATATAATTATTGGATTATAATTTTAAGCATAAAACTTTGAACCTGTTTAATCAGGAAAACATTATTATTTCTAAAAAGTATGTTATCTTTAGTGAGAGTCAGAGACAATAATTTCTTTGACACTTCTCATGGCATATATGGTAAAATATGTGAGGTCCTTTTTTTGGATTTATTTGAACAATTTTTATTATACATATAGATACAGCGATGTGAATAGAACAAAAGTTTAGCAATAAAAAATTGTAATCTATGGCACGCCTTTGTTAAAAGGTTCATAAGCTGTCATAGGTTTTCAGGCTATATGGCTATATGTCAAGCTATATGAAACAGACTGAATATGTATAGGTATATAGCGCTATACATGTAATATACTTTTGAATGATAGTAATATACTATTAAATTAATCATTTTAATATCTCACAGCAGAAGTCTCTATTTTTCATCAAAAAATTCAAATATTCATTATCTGTGTACTACTGCTACAAATCTTTTTCTGTACGTTAGTCTCTTTATATGTATTTATTATGTAAATATTTTACACCATCTGGCGAAATTATAAGCTTTACAATGTTAACATATTTCTCACAAAAAATTTTTTTGCTAATATATTTACGAATTTTATATCAGTTATCAGCCAATATTGAATAATATTAAATAAATTTACATAGTGTTAGACTTGTAAATTTTTTATAGATTAGTAATTGTTTTTATTTTTAAAACAAGATCTTATTACCATCCAATTTAAGCGTCTTGTATATCTCTACTTTTTTACACCTATACCTATACTTATCTAATTTTTTCTCTATCTTACCTTTCTAAATTAAATTGTCATTTATTAACTTTCTACAATGCGGACTGTTAACTGTTATTTATAAGCTATGCCCCCTTAGGTTAGGTTATATGGGTGATCCCTAGGAGATCCAGTTAGGCCTATTAGCTTATTATGTTATCATATAAAGAGGAAAACACAAGGTTTAAAACCATCTAAAACCTGTGGCGAAGTTCAAAATGCTGTTTAGTGGCAGGTCTTGTAATTGATCAAGATCCTCAAGTAAGGGGGCTCCTAAAGTGTGACCCTTATGAACATTTTACATTATTTTCAAAGACACCAACTAGCAGTCATTCCGTAGTTTGTAGAAATAAGAGATTGTTTTGGATTGTTACATATGGAATGGACACCAGGAGCCTTACAGCTCGTGAATTTTTCACATATAGCTTTCAAACAACTATCATTTGGCAATTTCCTAGAATTTAAATGCCATTTTTCATATGATTTATATTCATATATCATCTTAATAATTCGTTTAGTTAGGTTTAAAGGATCATCACTTATGCCAAGTTACAAAAAAAAGATGAGGTCCATCAACCATTGTTTCCAATACAGCTCCTTGTACTATCCTTGTTAAACCATTTGGTTTTTCGAATAAGGTTAAGGAAATCCGATGAGTCTACTTTTGTTATCTCTACCAAATCAGTGAAGAATATAATAATGCTAATATTGTACTAATAATTCTAATTCATCTAGTTGATATTGTGTGTAGTAAGTCTAGCATCTTTTTGTATTATTATTATCCAACTATTAACAGTATTATAATGTTGAAATTTATTAAAAGGTATTTTTGAGTAATGATACAGAGCTAAAATGTTTAGTGGATTATTTCTTTAAGTAGCAAATAACAAAAATTTGGGTTGTTCGGAAAATTCTGCTAAGAAACCTTGCTTTCTCAATAATTGAATATTGGAAAATATTAAATATTAATATTTAATTCATTAAGATCCTTTAGTAAATGATTAATTTTCTTCTCCCAAATTTCTTGTCTGAATGGAAAAGGGTCTTCGAAATGAAAATAAATATGTGTTTATATAGTATAGAATATATTTGATATAATTTTAAAATATATAAAATATAATGGGAATAATAACTATTTCTTGAAAACATAACGATTAATAAATCTAAATTAGACTGCTTCAAAATTAATAAATAAATAATAATCCAGAGTTTTAGAAATTTTAATAAACAGTTCTAACAAAAAAATTTCCACTAATACTGTTGTAGTATAATCATTGAATTGAAAAGAGAATAATATAATATTAAAATATGAGCTATTATATCTGGAAATGTTTATGCATATGTACATATAAATTCAGTGAAATGGAAATATAAATATATAAATAAAAATTTTATTTTTTATCACAACACTTGAAATATGAGTTGTAATCAAAACATATAAAGTCCAATACTAGAATTAAAATGTAGTGTACATATATGAAAACAATTTTAAAAGCATTATAATGCTAAAGCTTATTGTTTAAAACGTGAGAAATAAAAATAATAAAATATTCAAAAAAAATTTCTTTTTATTACAGAAATCAAGTTTAAATTTACGTGAATCAAGCAATGAAAGCAAAGATAAAAACAATAGATTATCGCTTAACAGTGATAACAAATATACAAATAATAGCGGCACGAAGAAAACAAATTCCAATACAAATGCCGAAGAACAAAGTTTTGAGAAAGAAGACAAAGATGTAGGGACAGAGAAAGACGCACGATTTCATAAAAATGGTGCTCTCCAGCAATGCATCACAGAAATAACAGCGAACCGAAATACAGAAGGTATAAAGGACGCTAATTCGCATAATGAAAAGCAGCCAAAAAATACATCACATTTTGTCACAGTAATCGAAGTAAAGGAGAGTAAAATGAATGTGGAAAAAGAACCCGACACGCCCACATTAGAACAATATGAGAGTGGTGATACTGTGTCGACAACAACATTTAGTAGTTTCGAACGCAAATCAACAAAAGTTGATCCTACTGCACCACCGCTTTCTCCTGCATTGACGTCACCATCAATGTCAACGTCATCATACACGGCACATTTACGCGCAGACAAAAAGATGCCACCAAGGTAATTGCATAGAATGACCTTGTTATATAAAAAAAATACTTCATAGTTATTTTCATTTTAGGCCACCACCCAAAAATGTGCGTCGTGTCGAACCACCAACAATACCAACTACTACATTATCATCTTCACCAAAACGTGATACTCCTTTTGCCGGCAGTACAATGCCACTTCCAAATAGTTCAGGTAGTTTTTCATCTTCAGAAAGTCCTGGAAATTCTCTTGAGCGAAATATCAAACCATCTGATATACTTCGCCAGAAAACTGCAGAAACTTCAGATGCAAAATTATTGGCACCTAATAGAAAAACTACACCTGATATGGGTAAATTTGTAAATACTAGCGAGTTAATGGAAGAAATTGGACGTAAAATTGGAAAATCTGAAAGTTTAGAAAAGACAAAACGTTCTGAATTGAATACAACTCAAAGTCCAACTGGGAGCTTAGGTCGTACAGGTAATACAACTACAACTCGACAGATAACACCAGGACGTGGTAGTGTAAATAATACTATAACAGCATCACCTACAGGAAGTCTTAATAAAACGGCTAAACTAGCTATTGCCGATAGTTCTTCAACAGGCAGTTTAGAGAAAAAATCCCGGAATTCATTACAGGCTAGCGATGCGGATGCTGCAAATACAAGAACTGCTGGTTCCAAAGAATCTTTAGCGTCACAAGGAATATCAGAAATTGTAAATATACACACAGTTAATTATTTCTTACTTCTTTAAAAAAAAATTTTTTCTGCTACTATAGAAAAGGTATGAAGATACCAGAATAGAATTTTTAGATACCAGGATTTTTAGATGTGTTTTTTAAGTATACTATTGTCTTAATATTTAAAAAGTATTTCTGATTTCAATATGATAAATATCTGTTATTAGTGGTAGTTTTATATAAATAATACTTTTAATATTTGCACATTATCATATTGTTTGTCTATTATCCCTTGGGGTTCTATATGGCAGATAACATGAAAAGAATTATGAATACAAGTACCAGAGTTAGGACATTTGTTGGGTTTTATATGACAGATACCATGAAAGGACAAACAATATGAACATTGAGTTAGCAGATGGTTGATGGTCCTTCATAAGTACTTTATTTAAAAGTAATAATTCTATTTAATTGTGCTGTTCGTTTTTGGCACGCCGTATATATATCAGATTCTTTTAATTGGTATGCAAAACCGTGGTCTAAACCCATGTAGTCAAAGTTGCATTCAATATCTGTATATCAAGCTTGTAAATTTATATTAAGTAATATATAATATAATATATATATGCATTTAAGCTTTTTCCCACTTAGTTAGTATTGTGATAGTTCTTTCTATACTCTGACTCTGCATAATTTAAAAAATGTTTATAATTCTATTTTTAATAAACGCGAAAGAAATGATAAATAAGCAGAAAAATTTCATAACATTAACTTTAACTTAGAGTAATTATCAAACAAAACAAATATACTAATTCTAATTTTAGATTAAAAGCTACGAGTCTGTTTCATCATTAAGTTCAGATAGTGCCAAAGCAGCACAAAATGTTGATAATGAGCCCTATTATGATACGGTTCCTTTAGATAATGGAGATGGTGAATATGTATATATTAAACCAGGTGGCAATGGCTCCTCTTCTAGTCGTGATGATCTATCAACTCCTGGCAGTACATTGCCTATTGGTTCAGTAGCTCATCTTAGCAGTCAAACAAGCGTTACAGATCCAGAATCACCTGGTCGTCAATCAAATTATGTTAATATTGATTACTTCCTAAAGTAAGCGTATTTACTGTATACTTAAAAAACATTTATATTTAAAACATATACATATTTCATTTATTTATATTAGTCAAAACAACGAAACTCGATCTAGTTCATTAGATAGTGATGGAGAGTATGAAGGTCCGCTAATTATACGCGCCATTTCACACGATGAGCAAACATCACAAACTCCAAGCGTTTTAAGAAAGGTAATTACTAAAATGATTTACATTTTTATTTAAATTATTTTAATAAATTTTTAATAAGTAATTGTTTTAACAACGTTGTTCCAAAAATACGAACATTTGGTTGCTAGTCTAATGGGTTACCTAGTATAACAATAATACACTTTTAACAAAAAACTTAGTAAAGACTTATTTCATTAACATATTAATTATTTTTGGAACAAATAATTAAATACAATTAACTTTTTTTTAACATACACTACTCAAAATTAAACATTTTACTAAATTTTTCCTTTTATTAATATTTTTCCAACAGAACTTAGTTTCAGCGATACTTGTAAGTACAATTTACTTATAGCGTTGCATTGTTTTTGTCCTAAAACATTATATTAAAATTAGTTTTTGAAATTAGTTAAATTTGGTTTTAATATGGTGTTTCATGATATCTTCTATATTTCAATTGTATTAAATAAATACAATACTTAAATAATTAAATTTTATTAGTGATATTCATGTTCGCGAGTAATAGGCTAGATCACGTAAGGGTCATGTAAGAGATAGTAACTTTCAGGATCAACGAGATTGTTGATGCAATACTTAAATAATTAAATTTTATTAGTGATATTTATGATCGCGATTAATAGGCTAGATCACGTAAGGGTCATATAAGGATTATAACTTTTAGGATCAACGAGAGGGGTAACTCGTAAAAGTGCAATCCGTTACTCTAACCAATAAGCGCACCTGATTGTATCGATCTGTAAAATGAAATTACCTATACTTTGTCTATATTTTCAACTTTTATTCTTTCTGAATTAAATTAATTTAAACTTTATATGTTATTAATTATTATTATCCTATTATTAATCAAACATGGGTTAGGTTAGGTTATATCAGTAAACATAAGAATCCACTTAGGCCTAATGGCCCATTAAGTTAACGTTAAAGAACTTAAGAGATTTAAACTCCACTTTTGGCAAAATCTAAGATGATTTCAAAAGGAAGGTCTTGCAGCTGTCCAAGATTCTCAAAAAGTAAGGCCCCTAATATAGTGCATTGTTGCTAGTATGCGCTGTACAATAATAAAGCAGATGTGAGGCACTCTTATCGTCCTTCTCACAAGTACAATATGAATGAAGAAACGAGAAATCAAATCTTTTAGAATGGTTCCCTAAACGTTTGTGATCCTTCAATAAACTGCCACAAAATTGAGTTTTAACGGAGCACCTCAATAAGATTGCTAGATTTTTTTTTAATACAAAGCGACAAACTTAAATTCAAATAATTTTTATTATATTATATTCCAACCAATGCATTCAGCTCTCCGAACACATTTTCGAAGTAATCTTTTCTCTTCTTGCATTAGAGAGGTGACAGAAATATTACTTGTCACGAGGGTCATGTTACGGAGATGATAACCAGTATAACCACTAAATAAGTTAAAAAATGAAAATCATGAAAAGCAGTAATAAATGTGGTAATCGACGATCCTTTGATCGATTCTCTGTGTAACATGGGCGTAAATATTAAAGATTAGGTCGTTACTCGCCAAAGTGAATTACGCTATAATAAAAGTCCAAATTAACAACAACAAAATTAACTTGTCAAGCTTGTTACTCGAGTTCGTGAATGCCACTATTGTAAATAATATCTTAATTATTATACTCATACATATATTAGTTACGAGACTTAAGTACTAATCAATTAATAACATATATATTAATTTACTATAAATATTTATTCTGTAAATGTAATAGAAAGTAATAATATATTATTTATTGTTTAAAATATTTACTTTCATTAACGAGATTTGTGTATTTTTAGGAGTCTGGTAATGCACGAGGTGTAAAAATACGATCAATTTTAAGTAGCATCATACAAAGTGAAAAAATCTATGTAGAATGCTTAAATAAAATGATACAGGTAGGTTTAATATTTTTTTATTTACCAATAAATAAATAATTAATACCTTTAAATATCCCTTTTAGTATAAAAAGGCTATACACGCCACACTTGGTACATCCCAACCTGTGATTAAGGAGGAAGAGGAGAATACAATATTTTTTAAAATCGATGAGCTTTATGAAGTACATACAGCATTTTTAAATGATTTAAAAACTATAGTTTCACATGAAGGTGGTGATGTACTAATTGGTGGTACATTTGGACGTTTGGCAGATATGTTTAATTTGTATAGTGCGTTTTTGCATAATTACGGACAAGCTATAGAAACAGTTAAAAAATGCAGCGCTAACAATCCGCAGTTCAAAAAGATCGTTTCAACGATCGTTTTGAATCTGCAGACTGAACAGTCGCTTACATTAGAGGATTTACTGCATAAACCTGTTGCACGGGTGCAGATAAATGCCTTGGTTTTCAATGATTTATTGAATGAAACACCATCTAATCATCCAGATCATCAACCGTTGCGTCAAGCACATAAAACAATACGCATGTTCCTCAATCAATTTAATGTAGTCAACCAACGTTTGCCAACAGAATCGAACAAAAATTTAAGACGCATGGTTAAGAATTCATTTATTGTTGAACTTGTTGATGGTCATCGTAAGCTGAGGCATTTATTTCTTTTTAATGATGTCATTGCTTGTGCAAAATACAAGGCTTCCGGTCGCGATCGTATTGATTAT